GCAGACTCCCCGCTGAGCAGGGAGCCCGATGCTGGGCTCTATCCCGGGACTCCAGGATCATGACCTGAGCCAAAGGCAGTCGCCTAACCCACTGAGCCACCCAGGCGCCCCCAAAATGGAAAGCTTTTTAAGGCAAAAGGCAAAAAACTTTTTTTAGGCAGCAACATGGAAGTCACAGATAAAAGAAAGGATTATTACAATCACCTTCCTTTGGGGGGAAGGACAGGGGTCTATCTAGCAGGTGACCTCTCTGGTGCGGATCAGGAAATGCTACGCTAATTGGTGTAAAATTCCAGTCATAGGAGAGGCTGAAACAGCAATTTGGTTAGGTAATAAGTCTTGGTTTGCTGATGTGGGGCTTAGCACAAGTGACTCTATTTGGGGAAAGTTCTTTGTTTAACAATTTTAAAAACAAATCTGTTATAAACACCTGTAATTTGTATTTTTGAAGAAAATTTAAAATCGCGATTCTCAATCCTGGAATCTCTTGCATGCTTTTGAAAAATACCAGTGCTAGGTCGGGCCCACTCCCAGGGACGCTGATGTCATTATTTGGGGTTGGAATGACTGGTCTAGAAATAGTTTTCCTAACCAGCAAGAAAATGTACAGAACTTAACCCAGTTGCTAGGGTTAATTATGGCCATACTCTGAACACCGAGTTGGTGGAGTAGTTACCGTGAATTGGGCAGGACAAAGGTAATACATAATGTTTAAGTGAACAAACCTGATTTCCTCTAACAAACATCCTGACAAGGAAGTTTCTGATGAAAAGTAAGAATAATCGTGAGGTTACAGATCATAGTCCATGGGATACAACCAAAAACCAAAAATACCGGCCAGAAACTAAGTGAAGACAAGTTCTTGATGATGATACAAGAGTGAACTATTTAAACAGGATTCCATTTGCCTGCAGTCCCCTATGATCACCTCTACTGTAACTGACAAATAGCCTCCAGACTTCTCTGCCTTTACCTCCGAAGGCACTGACCAGCCAGGGCACTAGATTTTTCAGAGCCTTGGATGACAGTGTTCTGGGCATCTCTTAAGTTGTGGCTGCAGAGAGATGGTTTGCGAGGTGCCCAGGATCTGAGCATCAAGGATTGCCTGGGCAGGGCAAGATCAGGAAAGTTCAGGTGAGGGCGGATCAGCTAAGGTAAGGGCTGGTGGGGTCCTGGCCAAGGCTGCTGACAATCGTACCTGGAAGAAGAACTCGGCTCCCTGGGCAGAGCTGTGAGCTGTGGTGCTCGCCCCAGAAAGCAGCCACCACAATGCACCTGGTTACATTTTCACTGACCCGGGGGGAGACAGCCTGGTGCCTGGCAGCTGGAAGACTGGAAGATGTCACCAGGTTCACAACCCCCTCTCCATGACTCACACGCAACCTGAGCGGGATCAACATGCTGATCTGGCCTGGGCTGCCAGGCAGCAGGTGCCACCAAAAAATGGACTTTAAAAGAGACACTGGAAAAGACAACAGGTTGTCCGGGGTTCAGCGCCCAGTGCAGCAACACCCTGCCAGTCTGAGCTCTAAATTCAGTGGTCCCTCTCAAAGAGTTCCCTAGCTTTAACTGAGCGCTTGATTATGAAGCTGGGGAGGGGTGAGGAGGCCCAGACCGGCTCTAAGGGGCCAAACCACATAACGAACCTGCCACCCTCTACTTTCCCCTTCGCATGCCCAGCCCTGGGCACCCGGGCTACTAGCATTTGCAAGGAGCACAAAAAGGGGGTGGGGATGGGGGACTCTCACCTTGTGTTTCTTTTGCAGCCATTATGCTCCCTGGTTTGGGCAATCAGTAGTGTTGATATTGATGCTAACGATCATGAACAAGAGGTGGAGACTCCTAAGGTGACCCGGCATGGCCCACAAGGCAGGCGGTGGGAGATGATTTAGGATGGTACAGGGGACATAAGGAGGAAACCACTGAGCCCCCTGGGGACAAGCCTACACAAATGGTGCGGGTAGGACATGGAGAAGACTGGAAAAGGGCGAAGTGATTGTTGAGGGACCAGGCATGGGGGTGGCAGGGCTGTGGGAGGACAGGAACACTTTACCCCTGGGAGGTCAGAGTACAGAAAGGGACACTAATCTCTTTCTCTCGGCTCTTGTTCATGGGGCATCTGGCCAGTTTAACCCAGCCATTTACTGCCACCCTCAACTCGACCACTGACTGATAAAGAGTCTTTTGTGGGGGAGCCAGGGGAGGGGCAGAGGGAGAGAGAATCTTAAGGAGGCTCCACGCCCAGGATGGAGCCCGACGCAGGGCTCAGTCTCACGACCCTGAGATCATGACCTGAGCCGAAATCAAGATTGGACGCTCAACCAACCGAGCCACCCAGGTGCCCCTAATAAAGAGTCTTAATCAGACACCTGCCAACAACTACTGAATCCAAGAGGGAGCAGCCTCCACTCAAGAGGACAGAACAAGATGAACTTTCTGGACATGGCTTGGTCTCTTTGGTTCCCTCTTGTTATCGTTGGATGGGTTTTTATGTTTCTCAGAGACTGGTTGCTCTAAACTCTCCAGCACGGTGGCAATGGGCAATCACATTGCCCTGCACTTCCTGCAGGCTGGTCAAGGTGAGGTGTATGGCTGCCAGCCTCTCTTGCTGCATTATTTATTTAACGACCTGTTTGCTGTCTTGGCTGGGGTCTGGGCTGTGTAGGCCTGGGCAGCCCACAGACGGGCAGCTGTGCCTACTCTAGTCAGGGTTTCTAAGACGAAGAAAGTGGAGTTGGTCCATGGTAACCCACAGAATGGGAGAAAATATTTGCAGTTCATATATCTGAGGAGGAATGGATATCCAGAATATAGAGAGGACACCTAAAACTCCCCAAGACAACACGATTAAAAAATGGGCAAAGGACTTGAAAAGACATTTTCCAAAGACAGACAAATGACCAATAAATAAGCACATGAAAAGATGCTCAACATCACTGATCATTAGGGAAATGCATATGGAAACTACAAGGAGACACACCCGACACTCATTCGATGGCTACTATCAACAAAACAAAATACCAGGTGTGGGCAAGGATGTGGAGAAATTGCAACATTTTCACACCATTGGTGGGAATGTAAAATGGCGTGGCCACCGTGGAAAGCAGTATGACAGTTCCTCCAAACATGAAAAGTGGAATTACATAATGATCCAACAATTCCACTTCTGGGTATATACCCCAAAGAACTGAAAGCAGGACATCCAAGAGATATTTGTACATCCACGGTTATTGGCAACATTAATCACAAGAACTAAAATGTGGAAGCAAACCACATGTCCACTGATGGATGAATGGATAAACAAAATGTGGTATAGACAGACAAAGGAATATTATTCAGCCTTAAAAGGAAGGAAATTCTGAACACACTACAGCATGGATGAACCACAAGGACATTATGCTAAGTGAAATAAGCCAGTCACAAAAAACCAAATCTGCATCACTCCATTTATATGAGGTGCTTAGAGTGGTCAAAATCATAGAGACAGGAAGTAGAAGGGTGGTTGCCAGGGCCTGGGGAGTGGGGGATGGGGAGTTAGTGTTTCATGGGGACAGAGTTTCAGTTCGACAAGATGAAGAGTTGTAGAGGTAAATGGTAGTGATGTTTGCACAGCATTGTGAGTGTATTTAATACCACTGAACTGTGCATTTAAACATGGTTAAGATGGCAAATTTTATGTGTATTTTATCATAATTTTTAAATCACAATTTTTAAAAAATTGAAAAAACACTTGGTTCAAGCCCCTGTCAGTACAATTAATTTTGGTGTCCGATGGGGTGGCCTCAGCTGCAAGGAAAAGGTTGGGGGTGGAGTTTTGGGGGAATGCTTGGCCATGGCACCCTGGTGACGCTGAACATGTCCACACAGGCCACCAGGCAGAGGCTTGAACCACAGCTTGTCTGATTCTGGGCAAGAAGCTATGGTCCTCTGGGACACCGGAGGGTAGGAGGACGGTGGGAGCCACCATGAGGCCATCTGCCCCTCACCCACCTATGTACCCAGAAGCATCATGAGACTTCCTTGTCACCTCTGTGTTCTGATGTGGCCTGAGGCCTCTGACCACCCCCCTCAGGAGAGAGCTGCAGGATATAAAAGCACTCAGCTGTGGGGCACCCCACAACTCACCTTGCAGTCCCCAGACCCCTTTGGTCTCAAGGTTGTCCTTTTTAGTACATAGGACAAGAGCTTCAGGGAGCTGACACCTTTGGCTTATTCGCCTTCTCGCTGTCTTTGTAAGTAATAAGCCTTAAATCTGAAAGTGGCTCGTTGTGTCTTTACCAGCCAAATTAGTCAGGCCTCAACCGTGGCCTGGTACTGTCTTGAATACGAGTTTGACCATGGCCTACGCTTTCGCCTCTCATCTTAACCAAGGCTGACTCAGAGAATTTACACCTTTTTTTTAAAGATTTTATTTGTTTATTTATTTATTTGACACAGAGAGAGAGCACAAGCTGGGGGAGTGGCAGGAAGGAGAGAGAGAGAATCAGGCTCCCCACTGAGCAGGGAGCCCAATGTGGGCCTCAATCCCAGGACCCAGAGATCGTGACCTGAGCCGAAGGCAGACACTTAACCGAGTGAGCCTCCTGGGCGCCCAAGAATTTATCACTTTTTGTTGCCACGCACACAGCTGTAAAGATGCTCATAGGCCTGGGAAGGATAACCAGTCTGCAGGTCTTCGGTAAATATTGACAACGGACTTATGCAATTAAGACACAGGGAACTTATCTGGAAGGCTTCTATTTAAATGGTCACATGAAGTTTATTCCTTGAAGAAATATTCTTATGTAGGAACACCTTATTTCCTCATGGAGAGCAAATAAGATGTAATGATACTATGGTTCTGGGCAAATGCCCAGACGCTCTTTCCCAAGAACCCACTAGAAGGAGGCTAGAGAGTCTATAAAATAGCCCGCAAGTAGGTGTGTGGAAACGTTTCTGTCAACAGCTATAGTGGAAAGAACACCATGGGATTCTCCGACTTGCTCCACACCATCGGCGGCATGGGGAACTTCCAAATCCTCCAAACTGTTCTCATGATGTTCCCTGCCATCCTGATCGCCTGTCACAGCTTCCTGCAGAACTTCACTGCCACGACCCCAGAGCATCACTGCCGGCCAACCAACTGGACCAATGGGTCTCATGTCCCAGATGGTGTCGGGGATGGGGACTTGCTGCAAGTCTTCATCCCACTGGACAAGGACCAGAAGCCTGAGCGGTGCCTGAGGTTCTCTGAGCCCCACTGGCAGATCTTAAACCTCAATGGCACCTCCTCTTTGAGCTTGGACACCGAGGCCTGCCTGGATGGGTGGGTGTATGACCGGACTGTTGGCTCCTCAATTGTTTCTGAGGTGAGGTAAAGTTACAGCTGAATGCTGGGTCTTCAGATGATTTTGTTTGTTTGTTTTATTTTAATGGAGACGTAACTTACTCCATTAAATGCTCAAAATTTAAATGTGCAGCTGGATAAATTTTACATATGTAAACACCAGGTCAAGATACAGGTTATTTCTAAGGACCCCAGAAGTTTCCCTTGTAATCTTCTGCATCACTACTACCCCCCTCAACCTCCAGTATAACCACCAATCAGACTTCTATCACCATCTCTTGGTACTGCTTATGCTTGAATTTCATATGAATGGAATCAAAGAGTATGTGTTCTTTAGTGTGTTGGGATTTTTTTTCATTCAATATAGATTTTTAAGAGTCATCCATGTTGATATATGCTTTGGGAGTTGGTTCTTTCTCAGTTCCTCAGAGCATTCCGTTGCACGAATATGCCACAGAGTGTATGTCCATTCTTTTTTTTTAAGTAATTTTTAAAAAATATTTTATTTATTTGAGAGAGAGAGCACAAGCAGGGGGGAGGAGTAGAGGGAGAGGGAGAAGGAGACTCCCCACTGAGCAGGGAGCCCATTGCAAGACTCGATCCCAGGACCCTGGGATCATGACCTGAGCCAAAGGCAGACGTTTAGACGACTGAACCACCCAGGTGCCCAGTATATGTCCATACTACCGCTGAAATGCACCTGTGCTGTTTCCAGTTTGGGGCTATTATGAGTATCATAGTCATGCGCATTCTTGTACATGTATTGGGGTATTCGTTTCTGCTGGATGTATGCCCAGGGGTGGGATTATAGGATCATAGAGTGGCCCCAGATTCTGCCAAACAGTTTTCTCTGTGTATAAGTTGTTCAGACATGTCTGAGTACTCCATCCCACTGCCCCCCTCCCCAACATTTGGTCCAATGATTTTATTTTGCCTTCACTTAGCTATTTGCAAAGCAGTCAGAAAATCGAAATGACATCCATTTTCTTGTGTTTTTTTTTTAAGATTTTTAAAAAAGATTTTATTTATTTATTTGACAGAGAGCAAGAGATCACAAGCAGGGGGAGCGGCAGAGGGAGAGGGAGAGGGAGAAGCAGGCTCCCTGCTAAGCAGAGCCCGATGCAGGGCTCGATTCCAGGACCCTAGGATCATGACCTGAGCTGAAGATAGATGCTTAACTGACTGAGCCACCCAGGTGCCCCTGTTTTCTTGTTTTCCCCCAAATTTCTCAGACCACTGAATGAAATGAGAACAAAAAGAAGGAAAAAATGAAGCATTTCTTTTTTTTTTTTAAGATTTTATTTATTTATTTGAGAGAGAGAATGAGATAGAGAGAGAGCATGAGAGGGGAGAGGGTCAGAGGGAGAAGCAGACTCCCCGCTGAGCAGGGAGCCCGATGCGGGACTCGATCCTGGGACTCCAGGATCATGACCTGAGCCGAAGGCAGTCGCTTAACCAACTGAGCCACCCAGGCGCCCAAAATGAAGCATTTCAAGTAAACTGGGTCTAGATTCGTGTTGGTTGTCTTTCTTTTAGGGTAGAGGTTTCCTAAGACTCAGGACCATGTGTTTTATAAAACATCTGGGATAATGTGCTTGACATTGATATAGAGGTTTGTGCCATTTAAAATAAAAGGGCCAGTGCTCAGGATGGCAGCGTTTTGTGCTTAAGGGCAAGCTGTGGGACCGTATTAGTGTGTAAGAGGTGACGAGGCAGCTCTTAATATTCTATGGAAGCCACATGGTGAGGATGCATGAGCCACCTGCTGACACTTCTGTCTCTTTTCCTCCAGTGGGACCTGGTGTGCGAGCACAAGTCACTGAAGTCCATTGCCCAGTCCATATACATGACGGGACAGCTGGTTGGAGCTACTGCTTTTGGCATCTTCTCTGACAGGTGAGGGGAGGAGGCCCGAGGAAGTCTCCAGAAGCTTCCTACGAGGCTAGAGTTCATGCTATCCCCACACTGTCCTCAAAGGCTCAGGACCCCACTTGGGAAGACCCCCCCCCATGTCCTTCTCCCTGCCAGACAGCCAGGGCCGCAACTGAGACCTCAAAAGGAGGGGCCAGGGTAGAGCGCTCACCCCTCCCTGCCCGGGTCCTGGACACCCCACTTTTCTAGAAGACAGTCCCTGGTCATGCATCCGATGTGGCTGAGGTGATGGTGCCTCCCTTTTTTGTTCCGCAATGAACTGCAATCATGAATCTCAAATTACTTTCTGCCTGGGGATGAATTTTGAGTCACGTGGCGGCAGAACGCCTTCGTCATATGAATGGTGATGACGCTGGGTCCACGGTCTCATTTCTGCCAACCATGATTTCCCCGCAGGGTTGCCTCCACAGGTCGCTTCCCCAGGAAGAAGGAGGCCCTGTGATGGTCATTATTGATGTGAACGGCTAATTCTACTGAGCGCTCTCCCACATCCTCCCAGTAGCCCTGGGTAGCTGCTCCCATTTCACAGATGAAATGAGGCTTAGCACCACTGGTCCTACAGAAAACTGATTCCAGCATGGACATTTAGTGCTTATTCTTGGAAGTGACGATGATGTTCCCGTGAGGAAAAAGCTCTGTGCTCGATGCCACATCTAGACAGATAATCCTGGTTAAAGCTAAACAAGCCAAGGCACATTTCTGAGAAAGCCAGCCCTGGGTACAGTGTCTTCTAGTCTTTTACCTCTCTTGGTTTTTGCCAGCCTATAGGCTGCATCCCTCCGGTGCAGCAGAAAGAGCATTTCAAGTGGACATCAGCAGAGCTGGGCTCTGCTCCTCTATGAAACCATAGAAAATTCACTTAGCTCTTGGGATCATTTCTGTACAATTGAGGGACTCTCCCAGTCACCCAGTGCCCCCAGTCTTCCCTGTCTCCCCTGGCTGGGCTCCAGGAACACTCAGCCTCGGACCCCTGTGTTGGGATGCCCAGCCTTGAGCTCTGGGCAGGAGGAACTGGTGATGCAAAGGCCTTGCTCATCGGAAAGGAGGCTATCTGGAGGGCCCCAGACTCTGTCCTCACCCCCACCCGACCCAGAGGCAAAAGGAGGGAACTAAGTCATCTCCATGGGGCCGTCAGGGAGCTCTTGCTTTAAATGCCAGTCCCCCAGTAACAAGGGGCCTGCAGCCTGGCCAAATAGTATCTTGTATTCAGATAGCTGAGAGCCACGGGGCATCCGAGGTAGAGCTCCAGTCTACCTCCAGGCACCCACCTCTGGAAAGAGCCCTGGTAGGGAATGGGTAGGAATGACCTCCAGAATGTGTAAACCCTACCTCTTCTCCACTGTTTTCCTGATCCCTTTTGAGACATCCCCTTGACTACGCCCCCCCCTTCCCCCCTACATCCCCCACTCTCCCCTCCTCTCCAGTATACCAGCAAACCCTGTTGGCTCTGTCATCAACATAGACCAGGACCCACCCCCTCCTCTTGCCGTCCCCATGGCTACCACTCGTTCATCTTGCACCTGGCTGGCTGAAACAGCCTTTGAGGGAGCCTCCCTGCTTCTTCCTATCCTTGACCTTGCCTTCTGTTACTCTCAAATCGATGGGAAGAGCCATCTTATTGATACAGAACAGATCCTGGCCCTCCTCTGCTCAACCTTCCACCAGCTCTCCAGTTCCTAGCCAGTGAAGCCTAATGGGCACATGGCATGCTGGCCCTACCTGGGCTGGCCCCAGATCCACTGCCGTGAACCCAGCCCCACCCCCCCTTCTTCCTCCTGCCCTTGCACTGGCTGTTGCCCCCATCAGGGGCATTATGCCCAGGACACCTCTTCAGGTCACTTCTCACAGCCTCGAAGTACAGTGATGTGGATTTCTCACCGGCTGTGGGTGTGGGGCAAGTCATTTCAGCTTGAGCCTCTGTTTTCTCATCTGTAAAATGGGGATAATGATGCTATTGACCTGAGATGACCTGGGAGGAGCCCCAGCACACCTCAGTGCTATGTCTGTGGTGGTACGTTGTGTCACCTGCCCAGAGGACCTTCTCTGGCCACCTTATTTACAACTGCAGCCCCTCTGACATTCCGTGTCCCCCTGCTCTGCTCTGGTTTGTTCTGTAGCCTCTGACGGTCTATGTATTTTACCCATTTATCTTACTTATTGTCTGATTTCTCCCTGACCACAGCTCTCGTACAGTGCCCCAGGCCAGGGCTGTGGGTACAGGTAGGGGGGTCCCGTGGGAAAGGGCAAGTGAGCTCCTGGTGGAGTCCTCAGCCCTTGGCACCTGCCTGGCACACAGGGGCCTAAGAGGAGGTAGAAGAGAATGAGTGTGGGGACAAAGGTCCTTTGGAACATTCGAGCCATTGCTCACACTCCCTCCCCCATGGGACAGGGACTAGAAGCCATACTCAGATGCCCGTTATAGCCCCATTCAGAGACAGCTATACTTTTTTTTTTAAAGATTTTATTTATTTATTTGAGAGAGAGAGAAAGCACATGAGGGGGGGGAGGGTCAGAGGGAGAAGCAGACTCCCTGCCGAGCAGGGAGCCCGATGCAGGACTCGATCCAGGGACTCCAGGATCATGACCTGAGCCGAAGGCAGTCGCTTAGCCAACTGAGCCACCCAGGCGCCCCGGAGACAGCTATACTTTAACAAGGAACAGAGCCAAGAGGCAAAGAATTGAGCGTCCTCCCATAGGGGAATTCTAGGCCTTGGCAACTCGTGTGGGGAGGGGCCGGGGCAAGGAGGGAGTCCCTTCCCAAGGCCTTTTTCTTCGATTGGGAGGGTGTTAAGAGGTCAGGGATACCTTCCTAGGACCCTTGATCCCATTGTGAAGGCGGCTTCCCAAGCCCTTGTCTAAGGATGCAGTGAAGTGGGGGGCTGACAGGTGGAGGGGAGCAGACTGGAGCGAAAGCAGAGGCAGAGTGGCCTCTAGTCGTCTTTGCAGCCGGACCCCGGGCTCAGCCTGGCCGCCCCATCTGTCCCGGTTGCAGGTGTGGGCGCAAGATGGCGCTGCAGAGCGGGACCCTGCTGATGATCATCATGGGCACCAGCGCCGCTTTTGCGCCCAGCTTCCCCGCTTACTGCGTGCTCCGCTTCCTCAGTGGGGTGGCAATGACCGGCATCATTATCACCAGCCTCTGCCTCGGTGAGTACCCCTGCGGAGCCCTGGGGTCCCTGTCACTGGCCAACCCAGGCTGACCTCTCTCCCTGGCCCTGTGGAGCTCATTACCAGCAATGCCAAACTTGTCATTCCCAGCCATGGAGTGGACCCCGACGCAGAAGCGGACGCTGGTCAATATCTACACCATGTATATGATCACGCTGGGCCAGGTGGTCCTCACGGGCCTGGCCTACCTCATCCAGCAGTGGCGCTGGCTACAGGGCACCGTTTCTGTCGCCTACGTGATTATTCTTCTCTACTCTTGGTACGTCGTCTGCCAGACGTACTGTGCAGAGTTGCCTTGTCTGGTCTGTCTTCCTGGGAAGTGTTTGCTGACCTCAGAGCTTACTTTGGCTTGGGTCTGCTGAGATCTGACCTCCTTAAGGAGAGAAGAGAGGACCCTTGGTATACGATGAGGTGTCATTTGATTTTTTCTCCATATTGTCCTTGGTGAATAGTCCTGCACCATTTGGGGTTCTAAGTGGCTGCACACTTGACCCATACCAAATTCAGTCCTGAGTGACTACAAGGCCCCTTAGAAGCCCTAGGCTCCCATGAAATGCCTCATGGAGTCAGACTTGAAGATGTTTGGCCACTCCACTCAGCCAATGAGATGAGGTTTACCATACAAATCCAGAGCCACAATGAAAGTAAGAACTCTCAGAAAAATGACACTGAAAATCCATACTAGTGCCATGAGAGATTTTGAGAGTGTAGCATGAAATGAGAAATGCAGGTAACAGAATACGTGTACAACTTGGAGATCGTTTTGCAAAAGCAAACACATGCTTACGTCTGTATCTTGCGATCTGATGAAAAGGAAAATGGGAGAAACAACCACCAGCCCATTCACAGTTGCTCTCCTTATTCCTCCCGTTTTGATTTTTTGGATTTTCCCTTGGATCTCCTTGTTTTCAAGTGGGCCAGCCCTTGACATATGGTGATTGGGACAGCGAGCCCAGTGCCTGCGTGGGTACTGTGGGTGGAGATCCCTTGACACCTCCAGCTGGTCAGGGTCAGGGGTGGGCAGGAGGCTCTGCCTTGTCTGATCATGCCTCCAGATCATTCCCTCCCTCACCCCATTCCCTCTCACTACTAGGGGCCTGCCAGAATCGGCTTGCTGGCTCATCACTCACAACAAACCTGACAAGGCTGTGAAAAATCTGCAGATTGTGGCAAGATTAAATGGCAGAAAGGAGCAGGGAAGGAAACTCACTCCAGAGGTATGCACAAAGGGAACCCACACACTACCTGAACCCTTCCTCCTGACCTGGTGGTAATTCTCAGTGAGGGCTTAAGTTGGCTGCCAAGGGTGAACAAAGAGTTAAGTTTCTACATCCAGAAGTAGTAGCTGCCACCATCAGATAGCCAGAGGACCTGTGGGAAAAGTGTCCTGTTACACCCTTTCTCAGAAGCTACCACAGGGTACATTCCACCAAAACAAGAATGTCAACCAGGGAATCCAGGAAATAGAAGATCCAAAATAGGAGAAAGGTAAAGAAGAAGGGAAAGAGTTGTACAGAAAACCTAGAGAACAATCAATCTGTACTGAAGCAAAAGAATAGCCATTTACTGGAGGCCTTTCATGAAGAAAAAAAAAATGATGCTGAGAGATTGCTTGTTATACTTTATCTTAACAAGAGTTTTATGGTTCTATCAAAGAATTTGGGCATAAATTAGTGCCAAGTACTTAAGAAATCAAGAGTATAAGCAAGCAAATACACCAAAGAGGCAATTATTAACTCCAGGAAAATAAAAAACTCACGTCACAGAAAGAAATATAATCAAGAGTACACTACATGGTTCAACTCTGAATGAGACTTACATTGGGAGAATTACAGAAGGGAAGTTATCGGTCAGCAGTGGTAGAGTAAGAGGGTTAAATCCTCATTCTTTCTTAGTATAAATCAATCTAAAGTTGGAAAATCAAGCCATAGCAATATAGCATTTTATCTGCAAATAGGAGATAAATATGAGAAGAAACACCTAGAAGAGTGGAAGGCAGTTGCTTCTGGAGAGTAGGAATTGGGAGTGGTACTAGAGAAAGGAGAGGCAGGGACCTTTCTAACTATGAACGTGAAGAAACAAAATAACAATGGCTAAGATCCCAGACTCGGGGCCATTCACCTGGGTTTGACTCCTAGCTCTCTCCTTATAGCTCTGTGATCTTGGGCAAGTTATTTAACCTTCTGAGCTTCAGTTTCCTCATCTGTAAAAAGGATAATAGAATCTCCCTTACATTCAATAAGTTAGTTCACGTCAAGTACTTAGACCCCCATCTGACAAATAACAAGCGTTCAATAAACGATGGTCATTGTTGACCATCAAGAAAGGCTAGTTAAAAGAAAAGGAGAAGTTGCTCCAAAAGAGAAGACACACCCAAAATTTGAAGTCCTCTACTTCTTCTTGGAGGTGTGTGTGAAGGAATTGGCCAATGTGGGAGGAATCAAGCAACTCTATGGCATCAGAAAGTGGAAGGACTAAGGGCCAGAGCCCTTTCTTCCGGCATCCCCACTCTGGTCTTTTCCTACCAGGTTGTAAGGATCCACGTGCAGGAAGACACAGCTGCTGTGAAGGAGTCCCCATTCTTCCTAGATCTCTTCCGCACTCCGGGACTCTGCAGGATCACTTGCTGTATCGCCCTGGGGTGGTGAGTGGAGCCCCAGGGAGTGACCCCCGAGTCATTCACCTGCCACCTGTTCCTGAGTTGTCATTCCCTGGTGCCCCACTGGCTTGAGACAGAGATGCAGGCAACCCATCACGGCTAAGCAATCTGAGAAGATGGGAAAACCTGGCAAAGTCTGGAACTTGAGAGGATTTGGTTTTAGAATAGGATCACATCCCATCCATGGCCAAAATGTTGGATAGACTCCTTCCATTGGAAAGAAAGGCAAACCATGGGCCACCTCTAGGGTATGAAATAAACTACCGGCACTTTCTCTCTTCCAGGTTTTCCACGGGCTTTTCCTTCTATGGGCTGGGTTTAGATGTGCAGAGATTTGGGTTCAACATCTACTGGACACAAGTGCTGTTTACAGTGGTGGATATCCCCACGAAGCTGATGACAGGCCTGAGTATGGCCTACTTTGGCCGCCGAATCACCACCGTCTCCCTGCTGCTGGTGGCCGGTTGCACAATCCTCGTCACTGCATTTCTTCCTCAAGGTGAGGTTTTCTTCTGGGTCTCATGAAAATTCTCTTCTGATATGATGGACAACATGGTATGGTTTGATGATTCAGAGCAGACTAGAGAACCAGATGAACCTGTTTTCAAGTGGTCTCCTGTGATCATGGACAAGTTGACCCACTTACCCTCTGCTGACCCTCACAGTTATTTAGGAAGAATAATTAAGAGGCCCTTATTGGGGGTTGACAGCATGCCAAGCACTGTGCTAGCACTTCACATGTATCAACTCATCTGACTGTCACGAGGACTCCATGAAGTGCTTTTGTAACTGAAGCATAAATAAAGCACAGAGAGGTGAAGTGACTTGTCCAAGGTCACACAGCTAAGAGGTGTTAACATTGGAGAAAACAACATGATGGCTTCATGGGTGTTTTTGTTATATCAATCTCTATAGTTTTCCATATGTTTGAAATAATATTTTAAAGAATAATAAAAGATCATGTGTAAAAGTTCTTATCCCAGTGCCTGGCTCATAGTAAACACCGAATGAATTTTAGTTATCATCATATAAGTAAGTTTATAAAGGTATAAATTCAGCCTTCTGAGATCTAGTAGCAAGGGATACTAATTTGAGATGGTTGTAGGAATCACAGAAATCTAGAATCCTGCAAGTGGGAGGTGTGTTGAAGACTGCCTCATCTATCATTTTACTGATGAGAACACTGTGTCCATGGGACAGTCACTTCTCCGACTCCCCAGGACAGGGCTAATCTCAGCATCCCTCACTCCCCAACTCCCCCTTCCTCAACTGAAAATACCAACTTTGGTTGTTAGTTACTTCACAGCTATTTCTTGAGCACCTGCCTACCCTGGGCTCAGAGCAGACCCAGGCTCATGGAGCCTAGAGGCCTTCAGGGAGACAGACAGTAACCAATCGCTTTGTATCAATTGCTGTTGGGATCAGTGCCCCAGGGAGTCAGGAAATATACAGCGGGCTTGATGCAGTGAATAGCTGTTGGCCAAAGTAGCATTTGAGTTGAGATCTGAAGAAGAATGAGAAATAATAGGTGAATAATGGGGAGGGGAGCACGCCGAGGAGCGAGAACTGCGGGTGCAAAGGCCCTGAGGCAGGGAGGTGCTTGACACATTGAGATGTCAGAACAGGTGATTGCATTGACATTTAATTAATTTCCTTTTGTCTACACCCCACCCACCGCCTTCTCTCAGACATGAATACCTTTCAGATGATCCTCTGTTTACTTGGAAAAGGGAGCCTGGCTGGCTGTTTTAGTTGTCTCTACCTATACACCATGGAGCTCTTCCCAACAGAAGTCAGGTAAGAAGATGGATCAGAGTCTCTGGGACCAAGAGGGCAGCCTCTGTCCCTCAGGACTGGGCCACGAAGGAAACCAGCCTCCATTTGGAAATAGTTTTGTGGTGTCACATCTCAAAGGAGCAGGTTCATGTCACTATTTTATCGTGATTTTGGTTATCATAGGACATTGCTCTTGGAGTAGTGACTGGAGCTTGACAGGCACTCCATAAATGGTCTCATTTCTATAGCTTCAGAAAAGTGTAAATATCCTAGATAGCGGTAGCAAATCGAGGAGTTGAGGACGTCGAGTACTGGAACAGTGCCTAGCACAAAACACGTGCTCGGTAAGTATTAGCTGTCAGTTTTCCCATCATTGTTATGGTTCCCAATAAGCATCCTGCAGGGCCACGTCTGAGATGAATGTTCCCTTCCTCATGATGTGCCCCCACACGACCCATACCAAGATCTGGCCCTTTGCCACACAGCCTTCTTATCTCTCGTGCACTGGTGCTGAGACTCAGCGCCTGGTTCATTCATTCATTCACCAAATCCTATTAGACTTGTCGCAGGTGCTTGAATTAGGGCAGTGCGCATGCAGGCTCCCAAACCCTTCCTACGGTCTCTCTCACCACAGGCAGATAGGGATGAGTGCCGGAATCTTCAGCACACGCCTGGGCTCCCTCTTGTCCCCCATGGTCTATATCCTAGGCAACCATAGCCCACTGCTACAGCCTGTGATATTTGGCCTGGTCCCTATCGTGGCGGCTGTAGCAGGCTCCTTCCTGATGGAGACGAATAACCAGCCATTGGTGAACACCATCCAGGAGACAGAGAAGAGGTAGGAGACTTCCTGCTCCCTCTCTCCAGCATTTCAGAAAGTCCTTGTAGATTGTGGGGACGGAGCAGTGGGAATGGGTCTGCTGGGGTTCTTGCTGCCCTGGCAGGAGTGGGGCACCCCCTGGGCCCATTTCAGGACTCTGGGGCAGCTCCCACTGCCCCTGCCCCTCCATCTGTATATATAATAATGGCTTCGGGTGTATTAAACTTGGTGGTGACTGTCCAGGAGCCTGATGAAGCATTTGGAGGTAAATCATGCAGGAGGCCATATACAATGCTGCCAAATTCTTCTTTTATTAAATACATCATCACTTTGTATGTGGAGGGGACCTGTCGCATGGCTAAAGTCCCTCCTCTCACCTAACCTATGGCTGCAAAACCACATGGTGGTGACCAAGGAGGTCAGTCTGTTCCTCCAGATGAAGTTCAGCCAGGCATTCTATTTTAGAATGAAGGTGGTCATTCTACCCACTGAATCGACCCACTGAACACTTCTTTGCAAGTGGGTTCCTGGTCTGTGGCTTGGCTGATCTGGGCTGGGCTTGGGTGTGTCTGCAGGTTGGTGGGGCTCTGCTCCAGATGGGCTGGGCTGGTCTGGGGGCAACTCCCTGGGGAGTTTCATCCTCCTTCTGGGACCAGCAGGCCTCTCCTTCTCAGGGCAGTGACAGAGACCCAAGAGCCCTTCCATCCCCGAAGCTCTCACTTTTCCACTCAGAGCTTATTCTATGCTTCTCCTTGCCCAGAATAAAGATGGCTCAAGACAAGCAAAGAAACATCAGTGAACATATCACCAAGAATGGATTGGCCGCACTTCTTCCAGAAAAGACAAAAGTAGAATGCACAGTGTGATTTCTTTGGACCCACACCTATATTCTGAATGGCCCTGGATCTCTTCACAACTTTCTCACATTTTGAAATGTGACGGATCTTGCCAAGGAAATGCTGTGGCACCTCACTTGACGTCTAATGGAAAAAGCAATGATAGTGCTGTGATCTGGAAATATTATAAGGCAGACGAGTCATTCGACTGATAGGCCAACTGAGAAAAGACATGTATTGGACAATCAAGGACATTTGAATAGGAAGAATGGGCTTTAAACAAATATTAAGGGATCTGTTGATTTTGTGAAGTTGGCAGTGGCATTAGGTTATATAAGCCAATGTCCCTTTTTAAAAAAGATGTTAAGCTGAAGTATTTAGGAATGAAATGAAACATTGGGACTTTGCTTTAAAATACTAGAAAAGTGCACAGAATGAGTGCCAGGCTTGAAGCAGGGGGTTCGTCGTACTTCCTACCTTTGGATGTGTTTGGAAATTTTTATGATAGAAGTATTTTTCAAGTCCAGCAGCTTTTTTCTATGGTTAATGTAAAATGATGACTTGATGGCTAAAAACATCTCCCAGGCTGCTTCCCCAAGGGTTTTGTCTCCTCTGTGGTACTCTTGTCAGACCATGTAGCCCTTAGTAGCCACAGGTCAAGGCCACGTCCTGCACTACCTGTGGACAACCCAACCAGCACTGACATGCAGCCCCGGGCCAGCTGCAGCCATCTGCCCAGATCACAGGGTGGATGCCTGAGACTACAAAAGGCCAAAAACCGAGCAGAGCTTCCAATGGCAAGTGGTGGATAGGTGTGTCCAAGATATCGATCCGAGCGCAATTGACATAACACCCCTCGCTAGTTATTGATATTGCTCCTAAGTTTGGTAATGGCCACTTTGATATATAAGGACCTATGCTTGAGACCATGACCAGAAAGCCCCCACAGGGCTACTGTATGAAGAAGAGCCTCCTGAATTTCTGAAAAGCCACAGAATCCCTTTGTTATCACTGAGGTTCTCTGTTCAGCGTGGACATGTAAATGTATATATTTTTTCTACACCTAAATTTCTCTAACATAGAAGACATATCGAATTGTTGCTGTGTTCATGTTTTGTTACTAGCATCCGATCTAACAATGTTAAATAGAATACAATAAATTTCGTTGTTTCTCAACTGCTAATTCATGTTTTGCTATTTGTTTGTTTATTGTTTGCCTATTTATCAGCTTTAGGTATTAGCAATTAACCAATATCTGATTCTTGTTTGAATTATGATTATGAATTATAATTATATATGGTTTGTTTTTAGAAATAAAAATCCCTTTTTTGAAAACAGATAATTGAACATAATTGAATTAAAGTAGTACATCAAAGTGGAATATAAACCATGACTGCTTCAGAAAATCTAAGTTTAAAAAGATTTTGGGAGGAGCAAGATGACGGAGGAGTAGGAGACCTAAATTTCGTCTGGTCCCAGGAATTCAGCTGAATAGGGATCAAACCATTCTGAACACCTACGAACTCAACAGGAGGTCGAAGAAAAGGATAGCAACAACTCTCTGAACAGAAAAGGGACCACTTTCTGGAAGGTAGGACGTGCGGAGAAGTGAATCCGAGGTGATATTTGGGAAGATAGACCGTGGGGGGAGGAAGCCTCCCATCATCCGGCTACCCGTGAGTGCTAGAGCCGCGGAGCACAAAATTGGAACTGTTAGAAGCCGGCTCCGCTGAGGGACGTCGCGCCAGTGGCTAAGCGGGGGGTGGAACCCTCGCGGGACAGTGTGGTCTCAGGACCCTCGGGGTCACAGAAAGACCGGGGGTGCCTGAGTGCGGCAGAGCTCCCAGGGATCGGAGCGGGGAAACCGGCTGCAGAGACGGAGCCGAGGCGTGGACTCTCAGCTCGGGGTGGCCATAAACTGTGATCCGCGGCCCAGTCGGGCCACTGCTCCTCCAGCAGGGACCCAACAAGCGGCAGAGCCGGGGAGACTCCCCTCCCTCGCCCGGGAGGAGCGGCGCGGGAGCGCACCGCAGGGATCTGCTGGGTTTGGAGACTCCACACGGGGTCGGGTGCCAGAGATAGCAACGCTCGGTCACAGGCCGGGTGAGCACGGAGTGCGGCCGGAGACAGGGGACACGGGAGTGACTGGCTGCTTTTCTCCAGGGGCGCACTGAGAAGCGGCGCCCCGAGTTCTCGGCTCCTCCAGGGCAGAGACTGGGAAGCCGCCATTTTCCCTCTCATCCTCCAAAGCTGTACCGAGAGCTTGCAGGGAACAAAAGCTCCCAAGAGCAAACCCGAGCAGATTACTTAGCCCGGACCGGCAAAGACATTTGGGAACCACGACAACAGGCCCCTCCCCCGGAAGATCAGCAAGAACAGCCAGTCAAGACCAAGTTTACCGATCAATGAGAACGACAAAACCCCAGCGCTAGGGGAATAGAATTCATGGTTTTTTTCCCATGATCCTTTAGTGTTTCAAAATTAATTTTTTTAATTTTCTTTTTTTCTTTTTCTATTTTCTTTGAATTTTTCTTTTTCCCTTTTTCAACCAACATCTTCTCAATCCCTTTTTTAAAGTCTTTTTTTTTTATTTTTAGAGTCATATTCTATCCCTTCATTGTAGTTAACCTCATTTTTTGTATATATACAAGTTGTTCTCTCTTTAAAATTTTGGGATACAGTTTCTTCTAACAGACCAAAATATACCCTAAATCTCTAGTGTATGGCTTTGTTCTAGTCTCCTGCCTGATCACATTCTCTCCCTTTCTTTTTTTTTTTAATTCTCCTCTTTCTTTTTTCAACCAATTTCTTATCAATTCCTTTTATAAAATCTTTTATAATTTTCATCTTTACAGTCATATTCCATCCCTTCATCGTATTTACCCTTATTTTTGTACCTATATAAGCTTTTCTTTCTTTAAAATTTTGGGAGGCAGTTTCTTCTAACAGACCAAAATACACCCAAAATCTGGTGTGTGGCACTGATCTATTTGCCAGCCTGATCATATTTGATCATATTCTTTTTTTTCTTTTCTTTCTTTCTTTCCCTTTCTTTTCCCCCCAGTTTTGGGTCTCTTCTGATTTGTTTACTCTATATTTTTCTGGAGTCATTGTTACCCTGTTAGCATTTTGTTCTCTCATTCATCTATTCTCCTCTGGACAAAATGACAAGATGGAAAAACTCACCTCAAAAAAAAGAACAAGAGGCAGTACCGACTGCCAGGGACCCAATCAATATGGACATTAGTAAGATGTTGGAACTAGAGTTCGGAATGATGATTATAAAGATACTAGCTGGGCTTGAAAAAAGCATGGAAGATACTACAGAAACCCTTTCTGGAGAAATAAAAGAACTAAAATCTAACCAAGTTGAAATAAAAAAGGCTATTAATGAGGTGCAATCAAAAACGGAGGCTCTAGGGGCGCCTGGGTGGCTCAGTCGGTTAAGCGCCTGCCTTCAGCTCAGGTCATGATCCCAGGGTCCTGGGATCGAGCCCCACATCGGGCTCCCTGCTCAGCAGGAAGCCTGCTTCTCCCTCTCCCACTCCCCCTGCTTGTGTTCACTCTCTCACTGTGTCTCTCTCTGTCAAATAAATAAATAAAATCTTAAAAAAAAAACGAAAACAAAAACGGAGGCTCTAACTGCTAGGATAAATGAGGCAAAAGACAGAATTAGTGATATAGAAGACCAAATGATGGAGAATAAAGAAGCTGAGGAAAAGAGAGATAAACAACTACTGGATCACGAGGGCAGAATTCAAGAGATAAGTGATACCACAAGAAGAAACAATAGTAGAATAATTAGGATCCCAGAAGAAGAAAGAAAGAGAGGGGCAGAAGGTATATTGGAGCAAATTATAGCAGAGAACTTCCCTAATTTGGAGAAGGAAACAGGCATCAAAATCCAGTAGGCACAGAGAACCCCCCTCAAAATCAATAAAAATAGGTCAACACCCTGACATCTAATAGTAAAACTTACCAGTCTCAGAGACAAAGAGAAAATCCTGAGAACAGCTTGGGACAAGAGGTCTATAACCTACAATGGTAGAAACATTAGATTGGCAGCAGACCATCTTATCCACAGAGACGTGGCAGGCCAGAAAGGACTGGCATGATATATTCAGAGCACTAAATGAGAAAAATATGCAGCCAAGAATGCTATATCCAGCTAGGCTGTCATTGAAAACAGAAGTAGAGATAAAAAGCTTCCAGGACAAATAAAAACTAAAAGAATTTGCAAACACCAAACCAGCCCTACAAGAAATACTGAAAGGGGTCCTCTAAGCAAAGAAAGAGTCTAAAAGTAACATAGACCAGAAAGGAATAGAGACAATATACAGTAACAGTCACCTTACAGGAAATACAATGGCACTAAATTAATATCTTTCAATAGTTACCCTGAATGTAAATGAGCTAAATGCCCCAATCAAAAGACACAGGGTATCAGATTGGATTAAAAAAACAAGACCCATCAGTATGTTGTCTGCAAGAGACTCATTTTAGACCCAAAGACACCTCCAGATTGAAAGTGAGGGTGCGGAAAACCATTTACCATGCTAATGGACACCAAAAGAAAGCTGGGGTGGCAATCCTTATATCAGACAAATTAGATTTTAAAGCAAAGACTATAGTAAGAAATGAGGAAGGACATTATATCATACTTAAAGGTTCTATGCAACAAGAAGATCTAACAATTGTAAATATCTATGCCCCTAACATGGAAGCAGCCAATTATATAAGCCAATTAATAACAAAATCAAAGAAACACATCGACAACAATACAGTAATAGTAGGGGACTTTACACCCCCCCTCACTTAAATGGACAGATCATCTAAGCAGAAGATCAACAAGGAAATAAGGGCTTTATTTTTTTTTAAAGATTTTATTTATTTATTTGACAGAGAGAGACACAGCCAGAGAGAGAACACAAGCAGGGGGAGCAGGAGAGGGAGAAGCAGGCTTCCTGCAGAGCAGGGAGCCAGATGCGGGGCTATCCCAGGACCACAGGATCATGACCTGAGCCGAAGACAGACACTTAACCATCTGAGCCACCCCGGCACCCTAGAAATAAAGGCTTTAAATGACACACTGGACCAAATGGACTTCACAGATATATTCAGAACATTCCATCCCAAAGCAACAGAATACACATTCTTCTCTAGTGCCCATGGAACATACTCCAGAATAGATCACATCCTAGGTCACAAATCGGGTCTCATCCAGTACCAAAAGATTGGGATCATTCCCTGCATATTTTCGGACCACAATGCTTTGAAACTAGAACTCAATCACAAGAGGAAAGTTGGAAAGAACTCAAATACATGGAGGCTAAAGAGCATCCTACTAAAGAATGAATGGGTCAGAAATTAAAGGAGAATTTAAAAAATTCATGGAAACAAATGAAAATGAAAACACAACTGTTCAAAATCTTTGGGATGCGGCAAAGGCGGTCCTAAGAGGAAAGTATATAGCAATACAAGCCTTTCTTAAGAAACAAGAAAGGTCTCTTGGGGCACCTGGGTGGCTCAGTCATTAATCGTCTGCCTTCAGCTCAGGTCATGATCCCAGGGTCCTGGGATCGAGCCCCACATTGGGCTCCCCACTCGGCGGGAAGCCTGCTTCTCCCTCTCACTCCCCCTGCTTGTGTTCTCTCTCTCGCTGTGTCTCTCTCTGTCAAATAAATAAATAAAATCTTTAAAAAAAAAAACAAGAAACAAGAAAGTTCTCAAATACACAACCTAACCCTACACCTAAAGGAGCTGGAGAAAGAACAGTAAATAAAGCCTAAACCCAGCAGGAGAAGAGAAATAATAAAGATCAGAGCAGAAATCAATGAAATAGAAACCAAAAGAAGAGTAGAACTGAGCAATGAAACTAGGAGATGGTTCTTTGAAAGAATTAATAAGATTGATAAACCCCTGCCCAGACTTATCAAAAAGAAAAGAGAAATGACCCAAATAAATAAAATCATGAATGAAAGAGGAGCAATCACAACCAACACCAAAGAAATACAAACAATTATAAGAACATATTATGAGCAACTCTCTGCCAGCAAATTAGATAATATGGAAGAAATAGAGAGGTATCAACTACCAAAACTGAACCAGGAAGAAATAGAAAACCTGAACAGACCCATAACCACTAAGGAAATTGAAGCAGTAAACAAAAATCTCCCAA